ACTCCGGATGTGGATTCCTCAAGAAAATTCACCAGCCTCGGACTGGGTAACCTGGCAGTGTTCAGCTCACATGCAGATCGTGGAACGCGTTTCTTTTTTATAAAGATTTGTTTGGCCCACAGTCTGGGTTAAAACGTGTGTGAAATATATATATATAAGGGGCTATCGGATTATGCCCAGAATGAATGCAAGCGCGAAATCTACGAACAGTTCAAGGAATAAAAATAACCCGAAACAGTGTTGCAGAAAAAGAAGATAGTCGAAATCCGTGGTCTCAAGCCGTTACCACCTGGGATAAGTGGGAATAGGAAAGAACGAAAAATTGTGACCGACAACACGTTTTCAAAAGCGTCAAATTCCCAAAAAATAGGTGAAGAAGGGCAAAAAGAACTAGCATTCCTGAATATTTTGGTCACAAGGACGACATCAGGCAGTCTGGACACGGTGGTGTCTCATAGAAAGACGTGCATGGATCAAATGAAAAACTTGTGAAGTAACCAATAGAATCGCAGCCAACGTGAGGACAGTGTGCAAGCACGCGATAGCACCGAAGTGTCCAACAAAAAGAAATCTTTCTCAGAACATTGACTCGCAACGGTTACACTCGAAAATCTCTCAGATGGTCTCAGACCGAGGAAAACGCCAATAAACAAGCAGCGAAAGAAAAAGGCCAATCAATTCTAATCAACACGAAGCATATTTTGTAAAAATTAGAGCAAAACTGCTCAGATACGGTGGAAGTGAAGTTTGCGAACAACACCTCCCGCTCGGAGAACTCACCAACACCAACAAACTAAACACGTGTCTCGGTCTAATGGTCTTAAAGCCAAAAGGGAATGTTACGGACTAAAGTTAAGGACAAAAAACCACTTCGGACAAAATGAAAGAATATCATTTTAAAAAAGCCTCGTGAACAAAAACTGGTGACCAGGAAACTTGATTTATCCAACTCAATCCAGATGAAGGACATATTTTATTAAGGATAGATAAAATACATTGATCAAGCTTGAACAATGCATCAAGTTTCGAATCATGCTTACGTACCACTGTGATTCAAGGATGAAATAGTGTGCCAAAAGAGAGGTCACACGGTAACTTGCTTGGCACTAGAAAACTAAACAAAAACGGACAAAAACTGTGCGCGCTAGGATGAACACCGTGAATACCAACCTCCACCTCCGAGAAAATAATAACTGAATACACAGAAGCAGAGATTTCATTGTGGTTGGTGATGGAACGTCTTTGCCAAAAGACCGCCCAGCCTAACGACTGCACAATGTATGATGTCATGTGGAGTGCGCAACCTGCCAGGTCCATCCGTCTCTTCACCGTTGTCTCTTTTCAAGTTCGTTTCAGAGAAATGAAAAGAATCATCATTATTCATTAATGTACAGCAAAATGTACTGACATAAACCTCAATGATCGCTGTCATGCTCAAAAATTGGAGCCCGACAGACGGATACAGCTAGCGAGTCTAACCACTAGGCAGAGTCGTATGCGAAAAATTCTAATTATGACAAAAACCTTTTTGCTTGCGTTTTGCTCCACTGGCGTTATGGGTCCCCTGTTATTTTTAACAAGGACCTCAAATTCATTTCCCGATCCCTCAAGTTTCTGTCGTATTGTAACCTCATACTACGGGAACATCTGGTACAGTATGTGGTGACACATCACATCAAGTCCTGTAAAACATTCTCCAATAAGATTTTATCTGATATTTTCCATCCTCTTTATTCCGCCCTTAGTCAGTGCCTCTCTCACTCATCCACCCGTTCCACTCACAAACTTATAAAGACAAGCACTGAATCTTACAGGTGCTCTATTATACCGTATCTCGCCAGATTTCTAACAAACCATGAATTCGTTGCAGGAAATCTGCGCCAAACGCCAAACTAAATTCGTCATAAACACTCGGGTATGCCATTGGCTTTTGATGTTGCTGTCCTTTTTCACGTCCTTTGATTGTTGTATTATAATGTTTTTTCTTTCACTTTTTGCTGACACACTGTGGTTATGTGGTTGCTGAATATCCACCTTTCGAAGTGTATAAAGCAATTCCTTGACTTGGTCATAAGGTAGCCGGTAAGACGAGGTGCAAACCCATTGTAGCTGGATCGATTGGTCCTTCATCATTTTCAGCGAACAGGGCGCTAAGTCAGGTCGAATCCTTAATCGGGAGGCTAGATTTCGTTTGATCGTTACTCGTTAACCTTTCAGGTATGATTAAATCTTCTGGTTTGTTAAAAGTTACCGTTAGTGGCCCGTCAAGATACGGAGTTGTACATGCCATCACACCGCGCCAAGGTGCAGCCTCTTTGAGATAAAAAAAGATGTACCACTGTTGCTGGGTAACGGGAGAATCGAGGAAAAGAAATATGTGTAGATTGCTCATCTCTATATCGTATACAATTTAAAAAAACTACAACGGACCGAATTCGCCACACTCACTGGTAGATACGTTGACATCGAGTCGAGGATAAGTGTAGGTTAGAACAAGTTGTTTGAGTACATTCATTCGGCCACGTTCGGTAAGGAAGGCACGCAATGTGTTCCAACGACGAGACGAGACTTCCGCGGTCCCGTCGGAGGGATTGTCCAACCAATCGGATGCCAGAGTCTCACGGATTTGTGCCAAATCCTCGGGTAGAGTGGACAGCAGTTTATCCAAACGGGGTGGCACACCAAATAAGTCCTGACCTTGTTTCGTGCTGCAATAGGTAGCAAAACGTGGCAGCAGCAGATCACATGCAGCGTCCACACAGGGGTGCAGTTGTGGCTCAGGACCAGACGAGTCTGACGGTTTGCTGGAACCACCAGCGGTTAGAATTGGCTGCATGGACAGGGTGGAACGCGAAGACGGAAAAATTTGCTCAAGGAAAGAAAAAAACAGGCAGCCGAAATCATTGACGTTTCTGTGTTAGGTGTCTTACTAGGTTGTACAGCAACTTATCCCGGTGGATGATCCCGGTAAAAAACGAGAATAATAGCTTTTTTATTACATACCAGTGTGTGGTGAACAGCAGTCGGGGCGGACCCCATAGTCACGAAGACCTGCTGCTCAGTGATGGGTAACCTAAACCCCGGGGCTTGAAATGACGAACCATATAAGGCTCCGCTAGGTCAGTCGTGGTGTATTGAACCGGGCGATAGCAAAGCCGCCTATCACCAAAATACTCAACAATAAAAAGGATTCGAATGAATAACAACCACCACCACAAAGTCGAACCAAGATTGGTCACCATTTCTCGACCCCGGTGCCCGCGAAACCGAACAACAGTCAAGCTTACTTATAGTGAAAAGTGTATATTTCGATGCTGGATTGCAGATGTTCAAGGCCACCCACACACTATCAACTTGTCAAAGTCTTTTTCTTAGGCCTTACAAGATGATCTCTAGAAGTACCAAGAACTTTACTTCTTTTCGGAAGGGGGGGGTGGATGGGTGGGAGAGAAATTCAACTGAATTTCCTTTTATTCCACGAAAGTGAATACAGTAAAAGGAATAAACCCCATGATCCGAAGATATGCTATAAGTGGGAAGGTATGGAGGAACATTCAAGCTAGAACCAGCTTGTTCATTTTGTCTTTAAAGACAAGGATGCTGTACGTTGGAAGGGAGACTGAAGGGGGAAGAGTGTTACACAGTTGTGCTGTTCTTGGGAAAAAAGATGATTGAAAGTTGGAAATGCGATACCTAGGGATAGTCACGTGAAATGGGTGGCTAGCCGCTTGTGCGCGGGATCTACGAGGATGAACGAGCGGGAGAGGGACAGAAACAGAAAGTTCATTATAACAAAATCCAAAGTACTATCGATATAATAAGGATAAGAAAGCGACTGCCCGACGGTGATCTAGTGACTGCAAGTTGCATGTTAGGGACGGATCGTTGATAGAAGACTTTACATTGAACCCGATCAAGAAGAGACACATGACTGCAGTATTCAAGTGTAGGCCAAATCTGAGCTTTGTAAAGCGAGAGGAGGCGAATGGCAGTGATCAAACGTCTGGCGCGGAAGAGAAAACCGACTTGGCGCGCATCGCGGGAAACAAGTGAATAAATATAAGGTGATCATGGAAGAGAGGAAGAAAAGGAAAGA